GGGGGGGGGGGCGTCGTCATCGTCGTCTCTCCATTTACTTATAGCGTGCTAATTAATTACGATAATTAATTAATTATTTATCGAGCATCGTGAAAAATGACCCTTTAAATGCAATATTATTATTCAAGTGAATAAAGCAAATTAAAAATCCAATTGTCGACGCCGCCGCTTCGAAAAGCGAATATTCACCTCAGTTTTAGCCATTTTCCGTAGTCGGAAGGACCAAATCCTTCTCCTTCCTTCCTATTCAAATGCTAATTAACAGTTGTGTGACATCAATGTTTCAATTGCCGTATCTCTTCTTTCAATCGTTTTATATTAACATTATATGTGCATTTCACATGACAGGAAAAAAGGGACAACATTTTCTAGGAGCTCCACCTCTCATACCACCAAGAGTCTCACCTGGAATCGTAAGTACAACGATTGTCTTACTTTTTCTATGACTGACACTACTCTTCCATAATTATCGTTCGTTTCTACTTACTCGTCTCTCTTGCGGGTTACGGGTATCTTACGAGGCAGGGTGAAGTCAAGGCCAACTTACGCCCTATCGATAAGGTCGAGGATTATCGTTAAAATAATGAATCAAAAGCTCTATCGAACTTTGCTTTTTAACGAATTCTAATAAGTCTGCCACCCACTCAATACTCATTTATATATGTCGTGTATTGTTGCACGCGTAATTGTAATTATCCGATGCCGATGGATAAGCAGCGTTTTAAAGGGGAGACGAGTGATCCGTTGGGAATTGATTGTCAGTCGGCGGTGATCTTGTCGAGATAAGCATTATTAATAAGAGTTTGAACGGCATTGTCAGACGACCACGAGGAAACTGGTGGGTCAAAAGAGCGAGGGTGAGAGCTCGAGGATGAAGGAGGAGCAGGGTTTCGTCGCCGATTTTTCACAATTTGCCCCAAAAGCCGAAGAGACTCAGCCAATCGATCATAATCTCCCCTCGATGCAGCAATTCACCGGAGTTTCCGGCGCATTCCACATTTATAAGAAGCCGAGTCCGAGTAAGTAGTACCAGTATGCCGTTAAACGTTAAAAAATCCGAACCCTTTTCCAATGTCTCTCTCTCTCTCTCTCTCTCTCTCTCGTCGTCCTCCAGGTGTCCGGGGATTTCAAAATCTTAAGGGGCAAAATAGTTGAAAAGGGCTGCGAGAAAATAAATTTATCGCTCTCATTACATTTGTAGAAAGGGGAAACGGTATGGAGGGGCCAGCGAAGGACGAAACGGACGACAGCGGCAAGAATTTAACGCTGCAGGAGCTGCGCGAAAAGAACGCGGAGCTACGGCAGGTGTGCGAGGAGTTGACCCGAGAGCTGGCTGCTGCCGTTCAGGAACGAATACACCTGAAGGCGCAGTTTCTCCTCCTGCCATGATCCCATTCTCTGTCCTGCCTTGTTACGGAGTATTGAGATACCAACATTCGCATTCATAGGAACTTGAAGCGTATCTTCTTTATTCTATTTTATTTTTATTTTATTTATTTATTTAACTCAACGCAAAACGAAAAATGCAAAAAACAAAAACATAAACAAAAACAAACAAAAAAAAGAGCGGAGTGGGGCTGTGGGATGGAAATGATATTTACTTTATTTCAGCCTCTATCCTTAAGGTTTATATTCAAGGGCATCGTCATGCGGTTGACTTTTAATTCACGCGTAGTTCATCTGCTTTAATGTCGTCGATCGACATTGAATAATTCTAATCGACGGGCAAATTTTATACAATTTTCTGCCTTTAACAACAAAACAAAACAAAACAAAACAAAAACATAAAAAAAAAAAACAAAAGAAAAATCAACGGTATTTCTCTTTTAAATAAGTAAAATTATTTAAGAGTCGTTGAAAGCCGATACTTTCTTCGGTATATTCGTGTGATAGAATATTAATGTAAAAACGGTTAGCTGTTTAGCTTTTAACAAAGGACTTGTTTTATAAGAAATTCGAAACGTTAATTTCTCTTTTCACTCTTTTCCAACGGTACGTTTCAAGCACCTATAATACGTAATTATTCATTCGTTTTTTTTTTTTTTTTTTTTTTTTTTTTTTTTTTTGTGTGTGTGTAAACTCATTTGTCAAAAATCATCGCACACTCATCGCACAGTCGTACATTCTTCTATCATCGATTTATAAAAAAAATTCGGATACTAGTCGTCCTTGTATAGTAATATTTATATATGAACGTTAATTTGTCCTTACTAGAAAAGAATAAAGTGTAATCTCGTATTGGATCGTCGACACTCTTTTATAAAACAATTAATAAGCGATAATTATAATAAAATAATTCTTCCGAGGGCACTAAAAAAGTTTTTTACAATATTGCATGAGATGCATATCATATGAATGTGAAAACGTATAAACATACATTACTAATTGTTAAAGTCACAGAGTCTTCAAAATATTGTTATACATTTTTAAGGTACAATATAAGGCTTTGTGAGGTTCGTTTGTAGAATTGTTATGGCAAATCCTACTTTAAAACAAAACAAAACAAAACAAAACAAACAAAAAATTCCAACAAAAAAAATATTTTCATAAAGAACGCTACATAATCAAATCTAAGTCGCGCGCAAACGTATAAAGTTGAACTTGACTGTGTACCTTATCAAAGAAAGAAATTTAATGCGTTGGTATGTTGAGTGTGAACACGTTAAGTTTATCTTTTGGTTTTTTTTCTCTTGCAATTGTACATATAGATGTGATATTTCGATTTTTTGACGTAGACGTCAGCGATCATCAACGAAAAATTGACTTAAAAGAAGAAGAAGAAAAAAACAAAAAAAACATAAGTGTTTAATTAATATCGTGCAACATAAAAAAACCAAACAAAATATAATTTTAATTGCCTTGTCGGCTGGCTATACCGACGTCGTCGAATCATTTATTAAATCATTGTATTATTATAATGAAAGAAGTAAGCTTAAAGCGATTGCGAAAATGGATATTATGTGCGTTTTTAATTATGAATTAAAGTCTCTGTGCCATACATAATACGCTCTATTATTAATTCATCATTAAGCATGATTTTAGTGTTCGAAATTGCAGAATTTTTCACTGTGTATGGAAACAAATCGCCTTTTTTGTATTTATATAAATACAGTGTATATACGACGGTTTAAGCCCAATTAGGAAGCAAAAAAAAAATAATATGTACTTGAGTTTTTTTTTCTCTCGCCTTCCCCACCCACCCCCACCCCCTTCTCATGCAGAAAGATGCCGATTTTTTCAAAAAAAAAAAAAAAAAAAACTCGTTAATTTATATTATAAAATGTACGTTATAATTTATAAAGCTCTAGGCTGGGCTTTAGAAAATAATTATAAACTATTGAGACAATACACTATTATTATTAATCATTTATACACTTGGCGATATAAATCATTGTAAATCGTAATAATTGATTTAAATAAATTGTAAAGATTATTGAAAAAGAAGATTTCTGCCCCTATTATTTGATATATTAGGGAAACGTAGAAAATTTTCTCTGTTTAAAACCTCTTTTTATCGTGCACATGTATTTGTAGATATGTATCGTAAATAATAAGAGAGTCGACTCATAATCAATTGACTTTACTAACTGATCCTTGTCCAGCCTCCAGTCTCGTGGTGATGGCCAACGTTATGCGAGTGTAAAAAGCCAAAGATATATATATATATATATATATATATATATATATATATATATATGTAGTTGTTTCAAAATCCATTTTAATAAACAATCACACGTATGGGGATGGTACATGGTATTTTTTCTTCATGGAGTTTTAAAATAAATGAAAATCACCTTGATATAAGGTCAAGAGTTTAAAAATTTTTCATTTTATTTGGTGATTAATACTAAAAAAAAAAACAACACGTTTACGTAGAAAATTAAATGATTATTCTAGAGAGCCTGTCTCCGAATTAAAAATATATTGGTTATTTCACATTTGTAGTTCCAACATATTATTGCTACTTCGTATGATAAAATTGTAAAATTTGGCGGTTCAATGAGTTTCAAATGGCTTGGGGACTTGAATGTTCCTCCGCTTGATAAAAACGGTCACTGTCGCCGTTGAGAATGTGGAGAAAGAGATAACGTTGTTGAATAATCCATGTTACATTAATCCTCTTGCTCGCAACTTCGGATAAAGTTTAACTGAAATGAATAAAGGCGATCAATTCTCTCGGTACATGTAATTTTAGGTCTGTATTAATTGCTTTAAAAAAGAAAAAGAAAAAAAAAAAGAAGTCACAATAATTGCGAATAGTCATTTTTATTATAATTTAAGAGTTATGAGTACAGCAATGAGAAAATGACAATTGTTTCTAAACAATTAATTTATCGCGTAGTTTGTACTATTGTGGATTAGGTGACTGGCCTGCATTAAGTAATTATATCTCAAAGTAGGCTAATTATCCTTCCAAATTAATCTGGCGTATCCTACATGCGCTCATTAATCGTATTAATAATGGGTGCCAATAAAACGAGGATACGCCTGATTTGTGATGTTGGATGGATTGAGATATAGAGGAAAATGTGTTAAGGATAAGGGAGAAGGGGAAGGTAATCTCAATTCACTTGACACTTACCGCCCACCCCCACCCGACGTCATTCCTTCCTGCATTCTCACTCGTTTTTCTGTCCATTATCCTTGGTCCACATGAACTTGATGAGGTCGATGACGCGGCATGAGTAGCCGTACTCGTTGTCGTACCACGCGATGAGCTTGACAAATTGGTCGTTGAGAGCGATACCAGCCCGCGCGTCGAAGATGCTCGAGTGCGAGTCGCCAATAAAGTCCGAGGAGACGACCTCGTTGTCGACGCAGCAGAGGATACCGAAGAGCGAACCATTGGGCGCCGCGGCTTCTTGAAGCTTATTCTTGATCTGCTCGTAGGTGGTCGGCTTGCTAAGTCGAACCGTCAGGTCGACGACGGAAACGTTGGCAACAGGCACGCGGAATGCCATACCCGTGAGCTTGCCGTTCAAGGCAGGAATTACTTTTCCAACGGCCTTGGCAGCACCCGTGGATGCGGGGATGATATTCTGAGCGGCACCACGACCATCGCGCCATGCCTGTAACGATAAACATTGATAAGCACACATCGGACTTTGTTTTTATTCAAAGATTTACGTTACGAAATATTGGAGCCAGAGAATTTGCAAACTACACACCCAAGTCTTTCTCATTTTTACCATTAGGTATTTAATCATTTTAAGCACACACACACACACACACACACGCTCGATTTATCCATTCTTCGGTAAAATAAAGCTTTTGGTTTGTTGAAAGTTGATTTAGCTATAAATGTGCCCCTGGCACCCTCGACAATGTTCGCGATCGCTACATTTTGTTGCACTACCATTACACACGAATATTTATCGACAGGGGCGATTCATCTTTTTGATTAAGGGCGCGATCGACCAACCTTTCCAGAAGGTCCATCGACCGTCTTTTGGGTCGCAGTGGTGGCGTGAACGGTCGTCATGAGACCCTCGACGATGCCAAAGTTGTCGTGCACGACCTTGACGAGTGGGGCAAGGCAATTGGTCGTGCAAGATGCATTGGAGACGACATTGTCGGCCGGGTTGTATTTATCAAGGTTGACACCACACACCAGCATCGGAGCATCCTCGGACGGTGCCGAGATGATGACCTTCTTGGCTCCACCCTTCAAGTGCCCCTATTAACAACGGCAATACATTTTCGTTCAATTAAACATTTAATAAACGAACTCCGTGGCGTAATCAACAATACAATTTCATATTAATTTACGTATTTATTTATTTATTTATTATCTTTTATTATTCTGTATGTCTTTCATGTGCAATCCAATAAATTAACATCAATATTGTTAATATTGTTAATAATGTATAAATGGATGGACACTTACAGAGGCCTTCTCGATGTTGGTGAATAGACCCGTGGCCTCGACGACGTACTTGGCGCCGGCCTTTTCCCAGGGGATGTTCTTCGGGTCGCGCTCGTTGTAGACGGCGATTTTTTGGTTGTCGATGATGAGGTGATCGTTCGTGAATGTAACCTCGCCCCGATACATGCCGTGGGTAGAGTCGTGTTTGAACAGGTAAGCCATGTACTCGGAGTTGATGAAGGGATCGTTGACGGCAACAACCTTTCGGCATTGTAAGATAAGGTTGTCTTATCGCGTTAATTAGTGAGTATCCGATTGATCGAGGTGATAAGTAAAACGAGACATTTTAATAGCGTTTTGCTAGTGGAGCATAAAGCAGAAAAATGCCCAATCGAATAATGTTTTAAGCTATTTAAACCTTACAATCGACTAATTAATTTCCTTCTCCGCTCATTATCGATATTACTATTCTCACGTTAAATGATGATGATGAAACAACTGAGGAATGGCCGAAGAATCATAATCAACAATAGCTCTTTTTTTTATTATTAATTATGATACTTTGTGGACTTTTCTATAAAATTTGTAAATTCTCGACGTAAATATCTTATAGGAAAAGTGCACGTGCATCATTTATTTCGATCATCGCGCCCATTGGCTGTCGTCTATTACGTCAAAGAGGCGCTAAATGATATTCCTTTAATCTTCGTAGACATTTTTTCTCGCGCGAATTACAAATGTCCTTATCATATAATTTACATACTTTTACTCCATTCTTGAGGGATGCTCTTAGTACCAATCGACCGATGCGGCCAAATCCGTTGATTCCAACTTCAGGCATTTTCGTTATTAACTTGGTTCTGCAAACACAAGCGAAGACACATTACGAATATGTTATTACTTTTAAATTTACAAATGCTTTATGTCGTCGCTAAAAGACGCAATTCATTTAATATTACAAACAATGACGCTACGACATATGCTCAATGAAACATGTAATTCAACTAGACGCATTGTCTCTTTATCTTATCAATTTTTATCGAAATTAAATATTAGTTAAGGAAGAACTTCAAACAGCCATTAATTAATAGTTTATCGAATACATTTATCTTATTACAAGAAACTGCTGAATTAAGATATTTAACATATAAAACAATTGTAATAAAACCTCGAGGAATATAATTATGTCTCTCGGATATTATACGTACAATCGACACTCAATGCACTAATATTATGGAATTTAAAAATATTTAAATGGTAATTAATTTTTCCTGCAGCATCTCACATACATAACAGTAACTAAAATTTTTATTTTTTGAAAATAATTTCTATTTGGACAATAACACTTAAATCTCAATTATTATTATTATTATCATTATTAGACATTATATGCAGGTATTTTGATTTTCCATTTAATTTGAATGATGCATACGTTTAAAAAAATTATTACAACTAAGATTTCATTTTAAGGTTCTTTTTAAAAAGCTGAGAATAAAAATGGAGAGGAAGGGGATATATTTTATCTAATTTTATCCAATATAACAATAGCATGGAAAGCTATTTATTCATTGCGGATAATAAAATGTACATAATACATGCATTAACAAAGTTATTTCTTTAAACATTAGTGTCAAAAAAAAAAAAAAAAAAATTCTATTCGTTTCCATTTTCCTTACCACAAACATGATAATTAATTAAATTTGGAATTATTAATTCATATAATTTTCTTGTGATATATAGATTCTCGCAATGTTTAATAAAATCAGCTTAAAATACATCCCCCCCCCTCTTTGTTTTTTCAACTACTTAAAAATAATCTTTAAGATGAAATCTTAATTATAATTTTTTCAACTTTATTTATAGTTATTTATAAAATAAAATGCAATTTAAAGCGAAGTATAACCATGATAAAAACAAAAATGGACATTTTTAGTTTTTATAATAAAAATTAGCTTAGAATTTTCCTTTTACTCGCAAAAAGTTTTATATATCGGGTATATCAATGGCAGTTTAGTAATATTTTTTCTCACTTCATTTAAATAAAATTTCCCATAGAATGCTGATAATCATTTTCTCACAATTAGATTTAAAGGCATATATATATATATATATATATTCTTGTATACATTCCTCATATTTAATTTATAGCTCTTTAATAACATTACGTAATAACTACAAGGTCACGCAACATCGAATCGAAAATATTAACATTAAACTAAATTTCTTTTCTAGAGTCAAATAATTTTCATACGTGTCATATTCGTATACGAAGAAGAAAAAGAAGAAAAAATCAATCCGTGGAATATCGAAATTATGGAAATTTGATAAAGCAGCGTAAATCGATAGTAAAAATTGACGGGCAGAGGTCGACGAAGGTTACGAGCGAATCCGTTCATACGATAAAAAAAATTATACTAAAACTTTGCCGTAGTCGCAAATCAACGTTATTTTGTCGACGAAATGCAAACATTTTTTTATAATTTTTTATCACCGATGAATGTGTTAAGTAAAGCTGCCGGTAATCGAAAATTCTCGCTATTTTTAAATATAAAGATAATTGAAAACTTAATGTAAGTATGACACTTGCGTCAAAAACATCGGTCTTACCATTTATTTCAATGCTTTAATTAATAACACAAATGCGACTTTTATTTACACTTTTACTGAGTTTCTCAATAATTTAAAAAATGTTTAACCTTATTGTTCACGATTTGTTGTCTCACGTAATTCGGTCGGGTAATCTTATTAAATGGACGATATTTACTACTGAAAATCCAATTGGCCAATTTAAAAGAAGAAATTATGGGTAATTTCATTTTGTTAAAAAATTAATAATTTTAGTTAATTCAAAGTTCAGTTAATTGAAAAAAAAAAAACAAAAAAAAACAATAATAATAAAAAACAAAAAATATAAATATATTAATTTGATAAATAATTTGGCACATTTTAAGACAAATTTATATCAATGATTACTTTATAATTTATTTAAATAAGGACTTTAACATCAAAATATTTAAAAGAATACGGGGATATTGGTGATTTTTGCCGGTGGTCGATAATAATAAAACCGACGACGCTTGGTAATAATTGTACAAATTATATTCGGAAGAAAGCCGCTACGTGAGAATAAAGGCGACGACGCCATACTCCGCACCCTTCCCAATCAATATGTTAACCAAACATCTTTCCTTTCCCTTTCTTTCTTTCTCTCTCTCTCTCTCTCTCTCTCTTCCCTACCAGATTAGGCTATATTCCGACACCATCGCGTGATACATTTTCCCAATGCTACTACTATACATCCATGGCGATTATATATTGCATTATCATAGCGCTCGAAAAAAAAAAAGTTCACCTTCGCGCTTCGCGGTGCCCTCCACGCTCTTCGCTAATCGTACACGCGGCCACTCTCTAACCTCTAAGGACGCCCGGCTCACGACTTTTCATTCGAGATTTATCATCAAATGCAACCGTCAACCTACACACGCGCCGTCTTCTCGAAGATTCTCAGCAGCAGGCGAGGGACAATGACCGACAACCCGAATTATCTCCCAATGGTTGGCCGTACATTGGATAATAGGCGACAATGTGCGCTGATTAGTCATACCGGGCCACCCAACAGCACCTCCTCATCTCGACCCAAAACTTCCCGTCAAAAGAGAATTTAAACCCTCCTCCCAGCCCATAGCCTAATGTACTTCTCGAAGACAAATCCAACGCCCAATGCCGGCATTGCCGACGATTCAAAAAAACCATGGAGCCCCGGAGTCCAAGAGCCGGTTATATTATTTACCGAAACGAACGATCCGAGATAATTGGCGCAAAATACTCTCAACCGCCGTCGCCGGCTCGATATATTAAAGATAGTCGAGGTACTTACTCAGAAAAAACACAACCGTACGCTTGTCTCACTAGAGAAGCAGTGTCAATCGAAGGACAAAAGCCGGAACGTAATTATAATTATTGAGATCTAAAAAGAGTATGATGGCGCTTTCGGGGGTCGCATGCGCAATGGGAATCCAAGCTGATTGGCCATCGCTAAGTATTGTTAGTCAGGGGCAGGGGAAGGGACGACGGCCGTGAGTATTTATAAAACAACACATTGCCGAAATATCTTGACGGTGAGCGGTACGGGGACTCCGCGGGTGCGTGCGTGCGTGCGTGTGTGTGTGGTTGGTCGCGAGGAAGGCCAATGGGCTGGGAATTTCATTGCGCATGCGCTCGGAGTTGTAGCGGCAGCAGTCGTCTTTTGCCGGATTACGAGCGGCGGAAATGTTAAAGTCGCGCATGCGCACTGACAGATAGCAACAGTCGTAGTTTATTCTTGCCGGCTTCTCATCTCTTCTCCTGACCATCATTGATGGATGCGCGTGTAATCCATGGATTGTGGATTGCGCGAGCCCTCCACGCGTCGAATATAACTGTATTATCATTTATCTAGTGATGCGACATTCGATGACTGCGAATGCTACACTACTCTTATAACTGTTATAGCTAGCGAGCGGTGAGTGAACGGGGGAGGGGGAGGGGGGGTTTCCATTCCCTTTGCGATTATTTATTATTTGCTTATTAACTTACTTATCTGGGATTTCAATGGTATTATGGGCTGGGAACTAGGAAGAGACATATGGGATAGAAAGATGAAACTCGCCAAGCCTATCTCTTTCTCTCTCTCTCACTCTCTCTCTCTCTCTCTCTCTCTCTCATCCACTCTTTACATACATACATGCATATATATGTATATGCATATGCATATGTATATGCACGTCGCGTGCGTGCATTTATCCCATGTAGTGAGATAAAATAGGTATGATCGTGTCGAATTCGTGTAAATTGTTGTTGGCTTAGTTCTTATCTGAAAAAACATTCTCTTTTCCTGATGACAAAAGTTAAATAAAAAAAACAGACTTAAAAGTAACGTCAGTATGCGTTAATTGTATTTAACAATCCACTAATGTTTTATAGATATTTCAACAATTTTATCTTACTACTATCTGCACATCAAATTTTATATAAAATCCTAATTGTAAGAAGTGAGCTGATTGTTGTAATGTTAAGAATTTCTTTACATTTAAAGCCGTTTTCAGGTCATAAATAGTAGTAATAATTACAACGACGAAACTAGGCTTTCAATTCTTTCATCATTTATTTTTCATCCTTATTTATTATTCTGCATCACAATCTATATGACTTGTATATTAAAGTACATAATTTTTTTCATTTTATTCTTCTTCTTTTTTTCTTCTTTTTTTAAACATCAATCTTATTTGTATAACACATAAAGATATTGATATTTCCATGACACATTATATTTCCTAATTTTATAAATGATATAAATTTGAAAGTAAAGTTAAAATTTTCGGTAAACTTGAAAAGATTTGTTGTCTTAACTTTTTCACTCAACATTTACGTATAATAATTTCAAGTAAACTGCTTTGAAACTTTGAAAAAATATTTAAACGCCCAACTAAAGGCTAATAAAAATTTGAAATTAATTGTGGAGTAACGGTTAAATCTTACATCTCTCTCTCTCTCTCTCTCTCTCTCTCTCTCTCTCTCTCTCTCTCTCTCTCTTCTAATCAATATATACAAATTTGAAATTATACAGCATTGGTAAGGCAGTGTACAACAATCCTCCTTATCAACCAGCGTTTCTGTCGATAAAGCTACTCCCTGTATACATGAATGTTACCGAAAAATCGGCATATGGAAGAATGGGCATGAATTAATTTGGTCCAGCTTCTAATAATCTCAATAACGAATATTATTATTCGAATAAATTGTTAAACTATTCGCATTGTCGTGTAAATATTGTTCGTTATAATTGTACTGCTGAATATGGTGGTATTGACAAGTAGATAAATACGAAAAATCTTGCGTGTATTTAAGCGAGG